TTGCATTCCACAGCAGCAGATAATCATTGTTTACATTTTGTTCCTGAGGCCTCTCAGCTTCTCAGGAGGAAAAATCCCAAGGAAAGGATTTTTCATAAAAGATGTCTGTGACTAACTACCTGTTGTTGATGGTTGGGAATCCCCCTTTTGTCAGTGGCACCCTGCTGCTTCCTGGAGGATGGCACCCAGATGGTTGGAGAAGAGGGGACATCGGACCTTGAATGTGAAACTGAAAAACTGGCAAGCTCCTGATGCTCTCTTGAGCATGGAAGCTCCAGCTCTGCCTGCAGACCAATGGACAAAGCTGCACTGTTCCTCCTCCTCTGTGCCATTCCTGGGAGCAGCAGCAGTGTGACTGCAAGCCCTCGGTTCTTCCCACCCGAGCTGATTTTTAATAAAGGCATTAAAAAGGAGAAACATCTCCTGCCCTGTTTATTTCACCGCCCTGTCAGCCTGACCTCAGTGCCAGGCAAAGTTCTGGCACAGAACATCAGCAGGGCCAAGTACTGGATCCTACTATGGGCCACCACCACCCCAGGGAATGCTGGAGGCTGCACAGGGTGGACAAAGCCCTGGGGGTGCTGGTGACACCAGCCCAGGTGTGCCCAGGTGTGCCCAGGTGTGCAAGGGGCCAAGGGCACCTGGGCTGTCCCAGGGCAAAGCTCTGGGCACTCCTGGGGCACCTCCAACCCTCTGCCCAGTTCTGGGACTCTCAGGAAAAGGAAAGGACCTGGAGGGGCTGGAGCGTGTCCAGGCAATTATAATCAAAAAACCTGCTAAAAACTGAGCAGCCCTGAGCAGAAATAGAAAATATAGGGAATACAAAATATTCTGAATAGAAAATCCTTGGTTAATGCCCCACAATTCTGGATTAGCAGCACCAGGCCCTGCAAACTCACACATTCAGACACACAGGTCCCTCTGTAATCACTGATTATTCCCCATGCAAAGCTGAGCACAGTGTTTGTGAAACAGGAGAGAGAATCATTAAATGTAACAGATAATTGATATTTATACTGAGAGGAGAATTGACTTTGTAAACCTCAGCTATTAAATTACTTCTTCAGCACTGAAAGAACACAACAGTTTGTTATTGATCACCAGATTCATTACACTTTTATGACAAATTTGAAAGCACAGTGCCATTAAGTTCAATTTTATAAGCTGGGAGAGACAGGGGAGGGTTATGGTTGGATTTAAAAAAACAAAACACAGCAAACAACAAAACCCCAACAAATTCCTCAATATCCTAAATACTTACCAAATGCACATAAAGTATTTCTCTGCACAATTTGCTGATGCCCTCTGAAGTTTTAGTTATAAATTGAAGTCTCCCTTGATTGATATTTACCAATTTAAGAGACCAAGCAGAGTGAAGGACAAGCAGTAAACAGCAAAGGACATAACATAATTTTTGTGTTCTAATGCTCTAAACTCTTCATTTACCAACCAGGTAAATTCAAACAGCTGAATTTTAATTTCTTCATGTTGTTTTACCAAACACATGCTGACAGCTTCATAAAGAGATAATTCATTTTTCAGAGAAATTACTGGAAAGTCATTTAAGTGAACATCATTTTTTCCTAAAGGATACACACATGCAGAGTTCCCTCAGTGGTCCCTTACCTGCTCATCTATTTTCAGGAACCTGAATTATTTAATTGTATCACACCCCTGATGTAAATTCACCAAGAGAATCAGGACATACTGGAGGAACTGGAGAAGCAACATGAAAAGAGTGTGTGCAACTGTCAGGACCCAACTTCTTTAATACAACAAGCCAAAATATGAACTATTTGATTTAATATGCAGGATTCACAACCTGTGCTTATTAATACTTCAGAAATGTAATTTAATCTGCATAATTCCTACCTACTGCATGTTTGGATATAAATACAAAAGAGAAAATGAAGGAAAAGAAGAGCTGGAGGTTTTGGCAGCAGCATGGAGACAACTGGGTTTGCTGTCTGATAGTTTAGAGTCCTGCTCTCAGCTGTCCAAGAGCATTCAAAAGGATTTCCATGAATTAGAGTTTTCCAGGCATCTTTCTTATAACCAGTCTGTGAATTCTGAAGTATTTTAGAAGCAGTTTCCTCAGTCCCACACCATTAACATGAAGTGCTACCATTACACTTCTAACTCTGGTATGTCAAGGACAATGTAATAATTTTATTTATATCATAATTTTTATTTACTCATGTCATTTCTGGAGGGTTACTAATTACTGAACCTGTGAAATTCAAACAGAACACAGGAAAGCCTCACACTTCCTGGGAGAACCACTGTAACCTCTTCTAAAAATTTGTGAGACTCTTAAAATTGTATTTAAGAGTATAAACCACGTGAATAGATAACACTAAACCAAGTTCCAGCAAACTTCTATATTAGGAAAAGAGAAGTTTATCTATTCTGAGTGGGTTATTTTCCTCCCAGGTTGTCCTTTAAGTAACAATGGACAAAAGTAACAGCCCTTCTGAAGTTATTTTTGTGCTGTGACAAGATACCCTTCTGATAAAGAGATTTTTATGAAAAAACATTTAAAAGGGGGATTTTTTTAGTAGATGTGTAAAATGTTTAATACATTCTGGGTGCTTCCACAGCAAAAAAGATGAAGTTCATCAGAAAGCACCTGAGTTTTTACAGTGACTACTTGCATATGAGATAACTTTTGAATAGTTCCATAAAAATTTGAACTGCTGAGGTAAATTGTAGATAAACATCCTCATCAGTCACTTAAGGACAGCCTGTCTCAGGAACTGCAGCTGAATCCATTCTTAACAGAATTAAGTTAATTAATTAAGCAACAAACAGGTGCTGCTTTTGAATTTATTCAAAGAAGCACCTGAGATTTCAGATGGTGAAGGTGGAGTGAGCCCTACACGGACTGGTAAAGATGGAGTGGGCATTACACAGCCTGGTAGAGGTGAGGGAGTTTTACACAGCCTGGTATGGATGGAGCAAGCTTTACACACTCTGTTAAAGGTGAAGTGAGCATTAGACACTCTGGTGAAGATAAAATGAGCATTACACATTCTATAGAAGGTGGAGTGGGCATTACACAGCCTGGTAAAGGTAGAGTGGGAATTACACACACTGTAAAAGATGGAGTGGGCATTACACACTCTGGTAAACATGGAGTGAACACTACACACTGTTGCAGGTGCAATGGACATTACATTCTGTAACACATGGAGTGAACATTACACACTATAAAAGGTGGAGTGGACATTACACACCCTATTAGATGGAGTGGGCACTGCTGACTGTAGCAGGTGCAGCGGGCATTACACACCCTATAGAAGATGGAGCAACCTTTACGCACTCTATAGAGGGGGCCTTACACACTATAGAAGATGAAGCAAGCTTTACACATTCTATAGAGGATGGAGGGAGCATTACACGCTCTATAGAAGGTGGACTGGACATCACATACTCCACAGAGGTTGGAGTGGGCATTGCACAGTCTATAAAAGGCGGAGTGGGCACTACACACCCTACAGAAGATGGAGTGGACATTACACACTCTAGAGAGGATGGAGGAAGCATTACACACTCTGTAGAAGGTGGAGTGGGTATTACAAGCTCTATAGAAGGTGGACTGGACATTATACATTCCATAGAGGATGGAGTAGGTATTACACACCCTATAGAGGATGGAGTGGGTATTACACACCCTATAGAGGATGGAGTGGACATTACACACTCTACAGAAGGTGGAGTGGGTATTACACACTCTATAGAAGACGGAGTGGGCATTACACACTCTACAGAGGACGGAGTGGGCATTACACACTCTACAGAAGGTGAGTGGGCACTGCAGACTGTTGCAGGTGCAGTGAGCATTACATGCTCTATAGAAGGTGGACTGGGCATTACACACCCTATAGAAGATGGAGTGGATATTACAGACTCTATAGAGGATGGAGTGGACATTACACACTCTATGGAAGGTGCAGTGGGCAGTGCACACTCTGTGGAAGGTGCAGTGGGCAGTGCACACTCTATGGAAGGTGCAGTGGGCATTACACATTCTATGGAAGGTGCAGTGGGCAGTGCACACTCTGTGGAAGGTGCAGTGAGCAGTGCACACACTGTGGAAGGTGCAGTGGGCATTACACATTCTATGGAAGGTGCAGTGGGCAGTGCACACTCTGTGGAAGGTGCAGTGAGCAGTGCACACTCTATGGAAGGTGCAGTGGGCAGTGCACACTCTATGGAAGGTGCAGTGGGCATTACACATTCTATGAAAGGTGCAGTGGGCAGTGCACACTCTGTGGAAGGTGCAGTGAGCAGTGCACACACTGTGGAAGGTGCAGTGGGCATTACACATTCTATGGAAGGTGCAGTGAGCAGTGCACACTCTATGGAAGGTGCAGTGGGCAGTGCACACTCTATGGAAGGTGCAGTGGGCATTACACATTCTATGGAAGGTGCAGTGGGCAGTGCACACTCTGTGGAAGGTGCAGTGGGCAGTGCACACTCTGTGGAAGGTGCAGTGGGCATTACACATTCTATGGAAGGTGCAGTGAGCAGTGCACACTCTATGGAAGGTGCAGTGGGCAGTGCACACTCTATGGAAGGTGCAGTGGGCATTACACATTCTATGGAAGGTGCAGTGGGCAGTGCACACTCTGTGGAAGGTGCAGTGGGCAGTGCACACTCTGTGGAAGGTGCAGTGAGCAGTGCACACACTGTGGAAGGTGCAGTGGGCATTACACATTCTATGGAAGGTGCAGTGGGCAGTGCACACTCTGTGGAAGGTGCAGTGGGCATTACACATTCTATGGAAGGTGCAGTGGGCAGTGCACACTCTGTGGAAGGTGCAGTGGGCATTACACATTCTATGGAAGGTGCAGTGGGCAGTGCACACTCTGTGGAAGGTGCAGTGGGCATTACACATTCTATGGAAGGTGCAGTGAGCAGTGCACACTCTGTGGAAGGTGCAGTGGGCAGTGCCAGCCCCGTGCAGCCACAGAGGGCAGTGCCAGCCCCGTGCTCACCCTGCCATGACCACGCCATCGCAGCAGTGGACGTCGCACAGGACGCGGCCGGGCTCGTAGTGCAGCTGGCTCACGGCACCCACACGGTTCTGCAGAGAGACACAGGGCTGGTGATCCCATTCCTTTATCCACCAAAACCTGCTGCTGGCAAACTCCCAGCTTTGCTACTGCTACCCCAAAACCCCCCAGCAGCTTTCAACTGGGAAAGAGGAGCTGCAGAACACAACACCAACCCTCGTCTCGCACTTGCTCTAAGCAAGTTCCCATTTTTCCCCGTTCCCATTTTTCCCCATTCCCATTTCCCCCCAATTCCTTAATTTCCCTCTCACCTTCCAGTTGGTTTTCAGCATGTGCTCTCTGGCTCTGCAGTTTTTGAGGGCAAGCTTCCAGCAGGAATGGTCAGAGATGCTCATGTCCAACAGGTATCCCTCCTCCTGGCACAGCCGGTACCACAACACTTTGTCTTCTGCAAGGATTTTCCATGTCCTGCTGACCTAGAAATCAATGTTTGTATATGGATCTCTCATAAATGGATAAGGAAAAATGAGATTTTATATTTCAGATACTATTTAATATTTCATATTAAGATATAAATTAATACAGGTCTGTATTAAGATAAAAGTCTTACTTTAACAAATATATTTGTTCAGTCTTTATACACCTGAGTGTACAAAAATCCCAGATTTTTAACAAAAGGCTTATTTTCTGTGGTTTGTTCAGGAAATAACTGAGTTTATACTCCACTAAATCTCCACATAACATAGACAGCAGTTTAGTGGCCGCACTGTCAAACTGAAATATCAGTGACTGGAAAATTTTGACAGGAAAAGCAGCAAGAAAACAATTAAGAGAGAATTGTGAGCTTTGAGCAAAAACATGAATATATTTTCATATTTGTAGCTAAGAAACCCTCTCAGATCACAGCACCATATCTCTGAAGTCCCACTGACAATGCCTGATTAGGGGTATGACATTAGTGATTTATAACCTATTGTATTACAGTATGCATAAATAGGAATGAATTATTAAGTTTTTCAAGCAGCCTCAAGTTGCTGCCCATTCCAGAGAGAACAGCTTCATCACAATCAATTGTGGGCTCAGAATTAAAGATTCAAGAGTTATGAGCCAACTTAAGTAGCTTTTTTTTTTTCCTCTGTAATTCTTAATTTAAAAAAACAGATGTAACCAATGAAAGCCACAACTGGTGAAAGCAGCAATCAATTGTGCTCTGGTTCTAAAAAGATTAAAAGAACCTTCTGAGACTGACATCATTTTTAGTAAGTTACAATGAAGCATCTAATGTTCATTTCAGTCCCCAGATTATGCCAAGAATCCAAGCCTCCCATGGACACAAACTCCCCCAGGACCATCTCTTTATATTTATTTGCCATTTTTTCCATAGTGACACACACACAGAAAATGTTTAATATGATGAAAGAAGGGGTGATCTGAGTAACCTGCAAGTGTTTTCAAGGTTTGAGACCTACAGAGAAAAGCAGTGCTCAAACAGGAATATCCAAAAGCAGCAAAATGAACATTCTGGATCACCCAGAGCCCTCAGTGCAAAGTGGCACAGGGAGACAATCCCCCTCCATCCTCTGCCAAAGGAAACAACCTGCACAGGGCAAGAGTAATACCCTGAAATGACAGAACCAGCACTGAGGCTGCTCCAGCAACACACAGCACCCTGGAATCAAAGTGCTGAGCGCTCCTGTCCCTGGAGGGACACACTCAGCAACTTCAAAAGCACCAAAGAGAGGCAATCCCAAATCCAAACCATCAGGAATTTGCTCTCAATTTGATTTAAAAGTAGGATAAATATCTGTGTTATTGCTCCAAGAACACAAAAAAAAAACCAAAACCCCAAAGCAGCTTTCTGCTGACACACCAAAAGAGCAGCTGCGGTGCAGGAGTGGAGCTCCCCAGGCAGAACCTCTGCCCCCTCCCCAAACAGCAGCAACATTTTCCTGACAGGGACAGGCTGAGCACACGCACAGGGAAGCACAGCCAAACCAGGCCAGCTCTTGCCTTGCTTTCCAATAGAAAAATCAAAAATAAACACACACCTTTCAGCCTGCCAAAACAGACAATACTGCACAGACCTTTCAAGTTTCAAGGTTTTAAAAGCATTTTATAAAGACAGTAAAACAAAAGAAAAGGGGGGGGGAGCTACATAAAATTTTGACTGCCTTTTCAACTTTCAGGGGGAATAAAGATCCTATCCTATCCCGATTTTTTTTCAATCAAATTACAGTGAACCCTGCTGCTTTACAAGCCTGAATTTCCAAAGGGTCCCTAACCCAGCCTTTCCTTACAGCCCCAAACTCACATGCCAATCCCTTGTAAAACCCCACTGAGCGAGGCTCAGCTGCACGAAATCACTAATAAAGAGTCTCAAGCATTTCACTTTACAGCACCACTGTGAGCTGCAGCATTAAAACCAGCCATTGGCTTCAAGTCAGCTTTATTAGATCTGCTTGACTTGGAGTTTCAGGTGAGGCCCCAAAAGCCAGGGCATTATGGCTTTATTTACATGCACCCAAAAGCTGGGTGCTGGAGAGGAGCTGAGATGTGCAAAGCTCTTGTTAAAACTGTTTCCAAATCTAAACTGCAAGAAACTGCAGCAAGGATCAATGACAACATCTTACAGACTTGTTTATAGATCTGGAGTCCCGAATTTAATTTTGTCTTCAGTGTTCCTATTATCTTTTTACAACTGTTCTCAGCAAAGAAAGTTTGGGTTCCCCTGAGCTCCACAGAGGGACAGTTTTATATTTTATAGTTCAGCAAGTAATAATGTTCTGAAGGACTTCAAAAGCTTTTGCTGACACAGGCTTTGCTATTTGGTTTTGCCTCTGGGGGATATTTTTCCCCCTAAAAAACCCCACCTCTTCCATCAAATCCAAAATTTCTTCTAATCCCATCTAAATCAACTGGCTCAAATCCTAATGAAGGTTTATTCATCCCTCTGCATCTGATAATGGTTTTTATTTCACTAGGTTTATTTTCTTCCCCAGACACACAAAGGCAGAGTCAAGGCTCATTTGCTGGGACCAGGGGCCTCAATTAGAACTCGCTGGACTTTGAGCTCAGTACAAAAAACAGTGCCAAGTGTTCAATGCAAAGCCATTCTGATGGAAGCTGCTCATCTTTTCTGCTCACAGCCCTGAGCACAAAATGGTTTGGCCTGGAAGGGACCTTAAAGACCACCCAGTGCCACCCCTGCCATGGCCAGGGACACCTTCCACTGTCCCAGGCTGCTCCAAGCCCTGTCCAACCTGGCCTGGAACATTTCCAGGGATCCAGGGGCAGCCACAGCTGCTCTGGGAACTCCATCCCAGCCTCTCCCCATTCTCCCAGGGAACAATTCCTAATTCCCAATATCCCATCCATCCCTGCCCTCTGGCACTGGGAGCCATTCCCTGTGTCCTGTCCCTCCATCCCTTGTCCCCAGTCCCTCTCCAGCTCTCCTGGAGCCCCTTCAGGCCCTGCAAGGGGCTCTGAGCTCTCCCTGGAGCCTTCTCCTCTCCAGGTGAGCACCCCCAGCTCTCCCAGCCTGGCTCCAGCCCTTGCAGCATCTCCTCCTCTGCTCTCACTCCAGCAGCTCCACGTCCTCCTGATGTTGGGGACCCCAGGGCTGGGGCAGCTCTGCAGGTGGGGTCTCACCTGAGCAGGACAGAGGGGCAGAATCCTCCCCTCCTTTCCTGCTGCCCCTGCTGGGGGCTCAGCCCAGGGCAGGGATATTCTCACCCATCCATTTCTCTGCACCCTCTGGGAATCACAGGGAGGATGGATGATGGCTTTTACCCATAAACAACCCTGATGCAAAACCGTGCTCAAAAAAACACATTCCATTTTCTTTTTATAAATGTATAAACATTAAAGCCTCAACAGTTTGACAATCCCAGAAGCCCTGGAAGCAAGCAGCTGAAATTCTTGATTTATGCATGACAATTCATTCCTAAATTCCTAGAAACAGTCTCCCTTGCCCCAGATACATACACAATTCCTGTGTTGGTAAACACTCCTAAACCTTCTCTAAGATGAAAACCAAACAGGTCAAGGGAATTTCCCATTGATCTGTTCAGAAACAAAACTGCCAAAATTCAGTGCTGCTGAATTCAAACACATCCCCTCATCACCAAACTGAACCATAAAGGCCATGGGTAAAATAAATGTATTTACAGTGGGTAAAATAAATGTATTTACAGTATCAGCCCTAAATCACACAAGGACACTTCAGTTTGTGACATTTGTGGTGTTGGGATTGTTTTCCTTTCCCTCTACACCCTGCACAAGGAGGAAGGAGTGACCGTTCCCAAACCTGTGACAGCCACAGGAGAGTCATTCATGGTACAGATATTTCTGCCAATGGTCAGAACACAATCAGAAAGTGCTCACAGGGCAGAATTCTGCCTTACCCTGGCCTGTTCTGTGCTACATGAAGCCCTGGATACTTTTCTCCTTGAATTCCAAACGTGGGATATCAACAGGGACTGGTGTGGTGGATGCTGCTGAATGTCACCCCCCTACTGCAGACCCAGCAGAGCTCAGGACATTTATTTACAGACTTCTGTACTTCCAGTGCCACACAGACAGGCTGTGGTTTACACTACTAATTCCAAAAATCAAAGAAAAGCTGTGGGGGAGCAAGGGAGAGGGAAATATCAAGGTGAAATTCAAGTTCTCCAGACAGTCTGTGGTGTGATTAAATCTCAGAGAGGCTCTGCAGGCAGGCTCCTTTCCTGTTAGCTGGTTACCAATTTGGCATAAAGAACCAAGCAAACAGGTTTTCTCCAAAAGCACTCACATGGATCATGATGCCAATTCCACCAACTGGCCCAATTTCACTGAAATCCCAAGGCACCTTAATAAAAAAAAACCTTTCTAGGATAACACCATAAAGCAGCAGGGTTTTCCATGGAACAGAAGAGGGCTCCCCCCCTTCAAAAACAAAACCACCAGGAGAAAAATGAAAATGCTATTTATTTTTATGGCTCTGCTTTTTATTTGAACATTTAAAAAGAAGCCAGCTCTGCACTGGATATTCATCTGATTGGGAAAGCCCTGTGAAACACTGGGCACTTGCTCAGCTGCCACAAAGGAACAGTGACTTCAGAACAGAAGGAGAAATGTGGAAAATTGTCTCTGTTAAAACACATCTTATGAGAACAGGTTCAAGCTAAAAAGCAAAGTGGAGAGAAATCCAGTGCAGCCCTAAGCACAGGGAAAAGGAGCAGCCTTAGCAGCCAATCTTTTTATAATGCCATGAGGTAAAGTGATCATGCCTAAGGAGGGGGGAAAAGAGAGTGAAAGAAAAACCTTAAACTAATCCACTTCAAAAATGCAACCCTGTTCCATGTCATGGGCTGTGGCCTTCACTGATGGCATATCTCAACCACAAGAGACAGAAACGAGCACATCTGAAAGCTTCCCTGTCCTGGACAGCACCAAAAAATAATCCTAGAGAATTTTCCCTTCTACAAGAGCAGCCCTGCACAAGGAATTCATTTTCTTTAAACAGTCCCTGTCCCTAAAAGGCATTAGCAACTCAAAGATTTAAGCAATAACCACTTGTAGCTTATTTAACACTACAACACACTCACACTGAACATTAAAAGCCCAATTTCCTTTCAAGCCTGGACCATCTGCAGAATATTTAAGTTCAGCCATCCTCAACACACCCTGTCTGTCACTTCTCAGTTTTCACATATTAACATTTTTCTCTTCCACTCAAACCATGCCCTAGACTGTTAGTAACACAGAGAATAGTTTTGGTTGGATTTTGTGAGGTTGCAAGATGTGCTCTGCATGTAAGAGTTAATGACCACCAGCCTGGAACCCTAAACAGTGGCCACAGGAGAAGCTGGAACTATATCTACAATATTCTGCTTGATTTCACAGGGTAACCAGCACTTGCCAATTAAGTTGGCTTTGAAGACTCATTGAGAGAGGAGCTTCATCAGTCAGTGTGTGAAGAAAGGAAATAAAGAGGCCCAACAGTGTGGGCTGAACAAATCTGAGCAGAGTGAGGTGAGAGTGAGAGCTTCAGTAAGAGCAGGCAGTTTACAACTACACGTAAATTAAGGACCATGCCTGAGTACAGACTGCTGAGAGCATTATCTGAAAGTATCAGAAAAGAAAAATATAAACCCCTTGCAGGGCTGGGGAGAGGAAATCAGGGTGATTTAAGAATTTAGCCTCAGAGACAAAAAGTTACTCCAAAGTCTGTGGTTCAATCCCATGCTGGAAATTGGGAGGAGCAACTCTTGCCATGCCCTCAGCACTGTCAAGTGCTGAGTCCTAAACACTGCAAGACACTGACCTGAACCAAAAATGCTTCAGAACACTCACTCAAATCAAAATATCTCTGCACTATTTATTTTCAATTCTAAGTCTTTGCTGCTGCCCAAGCCACAGATGTTTTATTTAACTCTGCTCAAGTGCAGCTGTAAATCCAGCTCATGTACCATCACATTTCCAATATCCAGCTTTGGAACTGCCTCCTGTGAGTGAAAGCACTACCAGCTGAGTTCCTTGGTGAAGAAGGTCGAGGTGCCTGTTTTATCACTATTTCTGCCAGTTTTTAGTGGAATCAGAGCAGCAAACTGCCAGCAGCACTCACCTGAGCACACCTGCCCAGCTCAGCCTTGCCCAGGTACTGGAATATCTTCAGTGCCAGCTCGTAAGGCAGCTGCACGTCGAAAAAAGGAACCTCATTGATTTCATTCTGGGAAGGAAAAAGGAGAAAATAATTGGTGAGGCTGGTTTAACACACAGTTTGACAGCAGGAGAAGTTATCATGGTATGGAGGAGGAATGCTGTGTCCTCAGGGCCACCACAGCTCCATTAAAATATCAGTTTTTCTGCCCCTCACTTCTTTCATGGCCCTTTAAAGGGCAGAGAAAGGCAGGACACAAGTTCTAGTGAAACAGTTTGGCTAAAGTGCCAAAAACACCCAATAAATGATCACTTTGAAGGTATATGCCCATTATTAATTTCACCAGCAAGATTTCAATCTATTTCAATCTATTTTACATCTATGATGGAAAAAGGAACAAATATTTTAAATAAAACTGAATGGAGATAAAGTTGGTTTATTTCATTACTAATATAAAAATGCCTTTTTAACATGAAATGTTTCTCCTTTAACTAATTGAGCATCTCAAACAGAAAACTGAAGCCAAATCCATCAATTTAAGCTAACAGCTAAATGCAGCACATAGATTTTTCCTAGATGTACTCTGTTTGGCTTAGTTACGTAATTACTACATCTTCTTTATGCAGTTATCACAACAAGATTTATCTATGCTGTTATCCTGTCTAAATATTCAAAATTTTTATACTCTGTAATAGAGAAAGAGTTTAATCAGCTATTTCTATAATATGTAATGTCTATAATATATATATTTCTATAATATATATATTTCTATAATATATAACTATTTCTATGTGACCAGTTTTGCTCTGCAGTGTTTTCTCTGGTTTCTGTTCCCCCACAGGTGCTCCTGATCATTGTCCATCAATCCTCATGCACAAAATCAGCTGCTCAGTTCAAATCCATCTCCACTGTTTGCCTTCAGAAGCTCAGGATCATCTCATGGGGACTTTGGTCTTTGTTTCTTTGAAGGTCTGGTACCTTTGTGTCTTTGTAGGTCTCTCCTACAGCTTCTCATTCAAATCTGGGCCATTTGCAGTACCACAGTAGAACAGAAGGGATATTCTGGATTTATTTAAAGCAGTTCCTCAGGGAAATCCCAATATAATGTGGTGGTGTGGTTTTTAAAGCAAAAGACACACTCAGGACAAGACAACCTAAACACAGGCAAGTGTTTAGGGCATGGGCAATGCTCCCATCAGGTCTTTTAGCAACAAAACATCACTTCACACACGCTGGAACCTCCCACTTGTTCTAAAGTTCCTTAGAGCAGGAGCTGCAGCCAGCCCTGCTGCTGCCCCCCCTCCTCACCCCCAATTTCCCTGCACAAGCAGCTCCTTGTCCCTGCTCCCGGCTCCGCAGGTTCCGTTTTGCTTTGGAGCGCTGCAAATCCCAGCCGTGCCCAGCAGGGACACCCAAGGAAAGCACAAAGGGAAGCTCTCCTTGGCTCCCAGCTGGCCAGGTGTGATCCTGCTCCGGAGCCACCGGGCAAGGGTTGTTAGCTCCGGGCTTATAGCTCAGGCACGGCAGCACCACGGCTCAGCTCCTTCCAAACTGGGCTTGACTCGTGTGCAAGCAGCAGAGCTGGGCTGGCTGGGGGCACACTGGGGTCTCACTGCAAGGAATCAGGGCTGCAGGCACAGCAGGGCTCACACAAGGCTCAGCAACAACGGAGGAAAGGAGGGGGAAAAGAGCAAAAAACTTCCAGGGATTCAGGGCCTGCCCACCCTGCCAGGGAACAATTCCCAATTCCCAATATCTCATCCAGCCCTGCCCTCTGGCACTGGGAGCCATTCCCTGTGTCCTGTCCCTCCATCCCTTGTCCCCAGTCCCTCTGCAGCTCTCCTGGAGCCCCTTCAGGCCCTGCAAGGGGCTCTGAGCTCTCCCTGGAGCCTTCTCCTCTCCAGGTGAGCACCCCCAGCTCTCCCAGCCTTTACAGGCTTTTTATAACCTGAGCCGCACGAGGATTCATACCCTGCTTCAAATAAACCCAGAAGTGCCTTTTTTTTCTGCTTTGCTGCTCCAAAGGGTCTAAGTTTAAATGAAGAGTAGCTGTAGAAGAAACCTACAAAGTAAAGGAATGGGGGTTAGGAAGTGCCAAGAGAGGATGCACAGCACAAACTCATACCAATTCCATTCTGTGAAAAACACCAATCATTTGGTTTTAAAATTTTAAAAGTTTAATAGTAATAAAATGTTATAAAATAGCTAATGTTATAAAACTGTAAAAAATAGTTACAAAAATAGTAATATAATTAGAGCAATAATAATTTGGGCAATTTGAATTAGGACAATATGAGACAATAGAAACAAAGAGTTATGGACATCTGGGTATCTTTTCTGGGCAGCACGAGCCCGAAAAAGAACCCAAATTAACAGAAGATTAACCCTTAAAATCAACAGCCTGTTGCATATTCATACACCTCATACATGATGCATAAATTCCATTCAAACACAGGATTCTGTCTGGGCAGTGTCAGCTTCTTCCTCTGAATCCTAACAGCAAGTTCGAGGTGGGAAGAAGTTCATTTCTTCTGATAAGAGGGCAATAAATTATTTTTCTCTGAAAGATTCAGGTGTCCTGTGGCTGCTATCTCACTGCAAGTCCTTTCTTTAAAAAAAAGTATCCTACATAGCATCGTTTCTATTGTGACATTTTATTTATAACCCAAAACTATATTTAACACACTACTTAAGAGAATTAATACAGCATTACTTTCTAACACAACACATATAACATTCATTTTAATATTTGCGAAAAGCCAGTAATAAAATACGCATTTTTCACACATTCTAATGCAATCATAACATTAGGGGCACAGCCAGGTCTTCCCACACCCCAAAAATTCCTGCAGCCTGTCCTCAGCACAAGGAAGCAGGGATGTTAAGTCAGCACCAGTCTGTCTAAAAGTCTACTGGAATGAGTCCAAAACTCAAATACAACCAGCCCCTCTGAGACAGATTCGGGCTCCTGTGTGCTAATGGAGCACTAATTCTGTAAAATGGATTAATTTGTGCCTTGCAGACAGAAATTTAATCTGTTCCTTTTAATTTTTTTAGCAAAGAGTAATTAGTCATAGTGAGGTTAGTGAGAACCAAGAAAATTGGTTTCCCCCTTAGTTTTCCTATACTGTAAATAACATCTCTATGGCATTTAGAGGATTTACCAAAGTAAGTTTTATCTGGTTCAGAACTGTATTTAAGACTATTTCCAAATTACCCCCTTTATTTAAAGAATTAAAGCTTGTTTTCTTACTACGCTGCTGTGTCACAAGGCAGGATATCCATAATTACTACACTCACATCAAATGCCTGAGTAAACAACAAAAAATTTTAAGAGAAAAAAGATATTATTTCATAGAGTTACAGCATATCTCGAGTTGGAAGGGACCCTCGAGGATCACCGAGCCCCGCATAGGACACCCCAACAATCCCACCCCGTGCCATTACAGAGGACAGGCGGATTCTGAAGGGTTAAAACTTTGTAAAAGGTGTATATTCAGAAGCTGAGTTTATAGACAAGCACACAGGAACACAAATTTAAGATCCCCTTTGCTCGCCGCTCCCAGCGGCCCCTCAGCCGAGCCCTCTCGGTGCTCCGGTACCGGCCCCACCGCGACCCCGCCCGGGGCCCGGCCCGTCCCCGCCGCAGCCCCAGGGCCGCCCCCGGCCCCGCGCAGCCCTACCAGGTCTCGGATCAGCTGTCCCAGCAGATCGTCCCCATCTCCGGGCTCCCCATCCGCGGGTTCCCCGGCGGGCCGGGCGGGCGCCGGGCTGCGGCGGGCCGGGGCGCTGCCGGCCAGCAGCCCGCGGGCCAGCGCCAGGTACCCGGGCTCGGCCGGGGGCTCCCGCGGGCTCTCTCCCGGCCTCTCCGGCGGCTCCTGAGGGGGCTCATCCCGCCGCCGCCGCTTCGTGCCCCCGGCCCGCTCCTCCCGCCGCCGGGGCCGCTCCCGCTCCGCCGGCACCGCGGCCATGGCGGCGGGGCCGGCCCGGCGCGGCACGGAAACCGCGCCCCGCGCCCGCGCGTTCCGCCGCCACAAGGTTCCGCCGCCGCTGCCGGGACCGGGGCCGGTGCCCGGGAATGGAGCCGGTGTTCGGGCCGGGGCCGTCGTTTTGTGGTCCCTACACGAGGGCCCAGCCTGGCTCTGAAGAGCCGCAGGCGGCGCAGCGGGGGCCGCGGGGATGGCAGGGTCGGTCTGGGCTCCGGGCGCCGCTGGGCGCCCTCAGCCCCCTCACAGCCATGGCCGGGGACAGGGCAGGATCCCGCTGGGAGCCCTCAGCCCCCTCACAGCCATGGCCGGGGACAGGGCAGGATCCCGCTGGGAGCCCTCAGCCCCCTCACAGCCATGGCCGGGGACAGGGCAGGATCCCGCTAGGAGCCTTCAGTCCCGTCACAGCCATGGCCGGGGACAGGGCAGGGACCCGCTGGGAGCTCTCAGTCCCCTCACAGCCATGGCCGGGGACAGGGCAGGGTCCCGCTGGGAGCCCTCAGCCCCCTCACAGCCATGGCCGGGGACAGGGCAGGGACCCGCTGGGAGCTCTCAGTCCCCTCACAGCCATGGCCGGGGACAGGGCAGGGTCCCGCTGGGAGCCCTCAGCCCCCTCACAGCCATGGCCGGTCCCTCAGGGAGAAGCCTTTCCCACGGGAGGGTTGTTGCCCATGAAAGTGGCCACTCTGACCGATGTGCCACTCTGAGCAACCAATGTAGCCCTCTGATGCCATTTTCCCTTGGCCATGTCTGAAGCCCAGTGGGTGGGCAGGGATGGCCCCACCGCTGCCATGCCCACCACACCTGCTGGGAAGGGATTTTGCTGCTTGATTCACACCCATCTCCTGCAGCCACCACAACCCGAGAGCTGCCACTTCCATGGTGTTTTGGGGAGGACACAAAGCTGGCTCAGTTCCTCTCCACTATCAACACACCTTGGTGCTCCAAGGCTGGGTTCAAATGATGCTGAACCCCAGCTGCAAAGCTTCTGTGCCTTCAGCCACTCCAGCTGCCCAGGGAAGCAGAGAGGCCGTGAATAGTCAAGTCTTCAGATGATTCCTGAGGAGCCCTCAAGGAAACAGAGCAGGTAAGTGATGTGCTGGTGTCAGTCAAACAGCTGGTCCTTCTAGAACAGACTGTAAAGCACAGCCCATGCTGTCAGCAGCATCTTGTGCAGTTACCCCCACCCTGGTGTTCACCTCTGCCTTCTTCATGGGCCACTTGCTGGTTTCTCTCCTCCTTGCCTGTGCTGTTTATAAAACCCAGCTTCAGGAACAGGTGTCCAGAAAGAACCCTACCTCGTTTAGGGGAGGAACTCCTGTATGTAGAAACCCCGCAACAGACAGGTGGGTGAATGCTGGCCATGCCTGGCCTGTGTGCTGGACCCCAAAACCCCCTGCCCTGGGCTGAGCCCCCAGCGTGGGCAGCAGGAAAGGGGGGGGGATTCTGCCCCGCTCAGATGAGACCCCACCTGCAGAGCTGCCCCTGGCTGTGGAGTCTCCAACATCAGGAGGACCTGGAGCTGTTGGAGTGAGACCAGAGGAGGAGATGCTCTGAGGGCTGGAGCCAGGCTGGGAGAGCTGGGGGTGCTCACCTGGAGAGGAGAAGGCTCCAGGGAGAGCTCAGAGCCCCTTGCAGGGCCTGGAGGGGCTCCAGGAGATCTGGAAAGGGACTTGGGACAAGACCCTGGAATGCCAGGGGGAATGGCTTCCCAGTGCCATTCCAGAGGGGAGGGCTGGATGGGATATTGGGAATTGGGAATTGTTCCCTGGCAGGGTGGGCAGGCCCTGGCACAGGGTGCCCAGAGCAGCTGGGGCTGCCCCTGGATCCCTGGCAGTGCCCAAGGCCAGGCTGGACATTGGGGCTGGAGCAGCCTGGGACAGTGGGAGGTGTCCCTGCCATGGCAGGGGGTGGGATGGGATGAAGTTTAATATCCTTTCCAGCCCAAACCAATCTGTGATTCTGTGATTTGTTTTCCCTACAAAACAATCACTTGCAGGGACACAGAGGAGGGCTCTCCCTGAGGTGCACATGCTGGTGAGCCCTGTCAGAGGTGGGATTGCAGCTCAGGAGCTGCCCCTGCAGCAGGACATGGGGCTGCTCCAGGGAGCGTGCATGGGCTGGGGAGATTTGCCAGGAGCAGCAAATCTCCCCAGCCCATGCTGTTCACAGCAGCTTCTCTGCAAAGTAGGGGGGGAACAGGGCTGGTTTGGGGTGATTGCTGGCCCAGAGCGAGCCCCCCGTGCCCATCCCAGGGCTGGTGTGTGCAGGGAGCCCTGCCCGGGGTGCCAGCCCTGCTCCCGTGCCCTGCCCGGGGTGCCAGCCCTGCTCCCATGCCCTGGCAGCCGGGGAGGCCCCCCGGGCCCCGGGTCAGTGCCGGGGGCTGCGCGCTCCTGCCTCGGCCACCCGAAATGTGATCCGAATCCGTAATGCTGTGGGTGATGAAATCGGCTCCAGCTCTGAGTAATCCCCTCACTGCCCCCCTGCATCTCCTCGCTGTCCCCTCCTCCAGCCCACAGGCATCTGCAGCCTCGAACCGTCTCTCTATCCCTACGCCATCCCCTCTATCCCACAGTCCCCTCTGTCCCCACATTGTCCCTATACTGTCCCAGCTATCCCCAGTGTCCCCTCTATCCCCACAGTGTCCCCTCCATCCCCATGCTATCCCCTCTATCCCACACTGTCCCACCTTCCTCACACTTCCCCTCTATCCCCAAACTGCCCCTCTGTCCCCACGCTGTCCCCTCTATTCCACACTGTCTCTCTATCCTCAAATTGTCCCTCCATCCCCACGCTGACCCCTCTGTCCCACCTTCCCCGCTGCCCTCTCTATCCCACATTGTCCCCTCCATCCGCACCCTATCCCCCCATTCCTACACTGTTGTTTTGCTGTCCCATCAAAATCCCACTCTCGATACCAGAATCTTCACCACACGAGCACTGTCCCCTCCACTCCCAGTCCCACACTGTCATTCCATCCCCAGTGTCCCTGCATCCCCATACTGTCCCATCCATCCCAACACCATCCATCCATCCATCCATCCATCCATCCATCCATCCATTCCCGTGCTGTCCCACCGAACTCCCACCCACCCCTGGATACCAGAATGTCCCACCACACAAGCACCGTTCCCCCCAGTCCCCGCACGTCCTTCTACCCCCACACCATCACCCGCATCCCTGCCTGTCCCTCCGCCGTCCCACCCAACTCCCCCACCACCGCTGGACCCCAGACCGTCCCACCGCCCCTCCGCTGTCCCCCTGCCCCCCACCCACCCCCGCGCCGTCTCCGGCTCCCCCCTCTCCGCCCGCGGCCGAGCACCGCCCCGCGGGGGATGATGTAACCCCCGGTCCCCCCCGTGTCCCGCCCGCGTCCCGCCCGCCGCACACTCGGCGGGCTCGGCGGCGAGCGGACGCAGCCATGTGCCCGTGCGCGCTGCGCGGCCCCCCCGCGCCCTGCAGCCCCTGCGGCCCCGGCCGCGCCGCCCGGCCCGAGGCCGCCGCCCGCCGGGTGGCCGCCCGCCTGCGCCGCCTGGGCGATGAGCTGGAGCAGCGGCGCAAGGCGCGGGGCCGCGGCCCCTCGGCCGCCCGCCGCCTGGCCGCCGTGGCGGGGCTGCTCTGCGCGCTCACGCCCGCGGCCGCGCTGGCCTGGCTGATCCGCAGGAGGAGCCTCTAGGGAGAGGGGCGCTGGACGGAGCGGAGAGCAGGCGGGACGCGCAACAGGTGGGCGCGGGACGGGGCGGCCGGCGGGGCTGGGCTCGGGGACGGCAGCGGGAGCGGGAGCGGGGGCTCGGCTCGGTCCGGCCCGGGGAGCGCGCTGTCCGCGGTACCCGCGCCTCGCCGGGCTGCGGGGGCTGACCGCGGCACCGCACCGAGCCACGGGCCGCTCGTGCTGCGGGGCGCACCGACCGCTCTCCTTTCCCTACCCCTCTTCCTCTCCCCTCTCTCTTCCTCTCCCTGGACTGCCTGTGCCAGGTCGCACCGACCTGTCGGTCTCACCTCTCCCCTTGTCCCCTCCATCCCCACTTTCCCTCTCTCCTCTCCCCTTTTCCCAGGACTCCTCAAACGCCCCCTTTCCCCTTCCCCAAACTTTTCACGGCTTCCACCCCCGTGGCTCCCCTCCGCCCGCTCCACTCGTGCTCTCGTGGGGCAGTTTGAGCTCAGGGGGAGCCGAGCAGGTCCCGTGTTGCCCCGGCTGCCGGTCCCGAGAGCCGGAGGATGCCCCGCACACCCGTGTCTGCCAAACCTCCAGCCCTTTTTTGCGTGGAGGAACTTTCCCCGTGTCCTGTCATTCCCTGGTGGGCTTTAGACCCACGGGTGCTGTGTGGCACTGGGTGGTGGAATGTCCCCACTGGGGGGCCTGGGACATTGGCTCTGTGTTTTGAATAATGCCTTGCCCAGTGTTGGGGGTCCCAAGCCACTGGCCAGGAAAAGCACCCAAGCCCGGTTACTGCTGGTTCTGTGCTCCAGAGCCGCTGAGCAAACGAGCAGCAGGGAACCGGGACATGCCCGGTCCTGTAACCTTCGTTGTTGCCATCCTAGTGCCAGCTCCGGGGCTTGTGGGGACAGCTCTGCACCCCCAGCTCTGGGAGCACTCAGGGACACTGAGCATATGTGGGGTCACCTCAGGGGTTTTGGGTGCTCTGTGGTGTTCTTTGGGTCGTGGATTTGTCACCACAGACCCAAGGAGCACGGGCTCCTCTTTTGGGTGCTGTAAATTGCATCATAAACACCCCCCAGTGTCTGTCTGCGTTCAGGGCACAATTTCAGTGCGTGTCTAACTTTCAGCGTGCACTGGTATCCCACCAGCTTGGACAGGGCAGTGTGGAAGGAAAGTCAGGTTGTCAGAGAGTTTCAAGATGAGGTTTTGCAGCAGGTCTGTGTGTTTGCACTGTGTGTGTGCACTCTGTGGGGGGACATTGTTGTCATCCATCCGAGCCACAACTGCTGTGTCTGGCGGGAGGCTCCGCTGGTCACCTCTGGAA